TCTGGAGAATAGTCGTAATAACATTCTGCTATAATTCTCGAGGGTGAACTGCAGGAACCTTCAAGTAGAAATAAATAATAAAGAGAGGAATAAGTTACTCTAAGATTAAAAGTTTTCTCAAATGCGGATAAAGTGAAACAGAGAAAGAGAAAAATGCTGAGCAAAAAAGAGCGCGCTGGTAAAGTTTCTTGATATCGGGTTGAAGGTTGTTGTTCTAAAATTGCTTTTGAGTGAAGTCGTAAGCAGCGAGTTGAAATGTATTCTAAACAATTGTTTTTCTTTTATTGCTATGCCCTATCTCTGCGCCCCTTGTATTATAATTGAGTGTGATAGCTACGAGCCTTTTAATTTCCAGAGTTACAGTTTTCGAATTGATTAAGCCATTATGATAGTTTCCTCTTTGAACTTACACTTTCCAATCGTATATTAGGGGTTTTTTTTACCCACCAATTTAGGAGCTCCATTGTCCATCGTCAAGTTCAAACAGTCCTTTGCGATAACCTGTTTGTTTATAAAAATGATATATTCTGATCAAAGTTTACTTTTTTTAATTCTGAGCTGTCGCAACCAGGGCATTCCCACTGATATGGACATCTTGTTCCCGATGTTCACATCGTTTTTCTCTTCAAGTCCGTTGTAACACGCCTGGTTATAGATGTTTAATATGAATTCGTTCTCTAACCATGCTCCTAAACCGTGCGCATCCTCTACCTAGAATAAATAATAAGTAATTATAAAATAAATACATTAAGATATAAGGACCCCTCAAGAGGATAGAATGTGTGATTCGCATGATTATTAAACAAACGAACAATTAACGATAAAGCATTAAATAAAAAGACTGGAACGAAGTGAAGTGGGAAGGAGACTAACTGCCAATCTTAAATGCAAGTAGGAAACAATGAATAAAAAATTAATAAACAAAGAATTCAAACGCCCACTTCCCTTTAACGAACCTGTTTCTCTCAGAAATTCGTCTTGATAAATTTAAGAGAAAAGCTCATTTAAAAAGTTGAGATTGTTACCCGATCAAAGCTATATAATATTAACATATTTAAAAGGTGTCGCTTGATGTCTCACTAAAGGAGAGAGATATCTCAATAAATCAACCTCTTACCTCCTAAAGTTCGGAAACCCCTCCGAAGATTATCGATTATTCACCCGAAGGAATATGATGAGCTTTGCGCTTCAAAAACACGAACGACAGTAGCTTTAACAACAACAAAAAGATAAAGTGGAAGCGGTTTTGTTTACTGACATCCAGAGAGGGATAATCCATTGTCTCATGTAACCTTAAACTGATTACATGTAGAGAATGAGAATTTGAACAGAAGGCGACCAGAGGGTTTGGCCTCAGGAAAGTCAACGTAGATTTTTTAAAGTGCAGCAAAGACATGTAAACCTCTGATTACTTAGACGTGCTATTTTTCTTAGACACTTACAACTAAAGCAACCAGAGTGACAGATCACGCCTTCTCTGTTACTGATCACACACACACAAATAAGCCTGAAAAGGTTGTTAAATTAGGTTTTAACTGGTCGTCATTTCGAACCTCTTTCTGGTGTTGTTTTGTTTTTTGTTTTTTTTGTTAGAATGGCTTGTATAAGAGCTACTAACGTAGACATCATTGAGATTTTACCCATTTCACCTAACAAGCTCTCCTACAAGATTCACCTGTTCAGGTATGATTAAGGAATACTACACTCCTACAATTTGAAACTATTTTATTAAACAACTTGTACTAATTCTTTCTCAGGAGAAACTCATATAGGCAGTACAATAATTGTCCTTTAAAACTCACTTAAGCCCACCACAGACTATAACTTAGTAACTCTACTGACAGCAAAGACTCACCACGGCCTCCAATCTCTTCAAAATATACAATCGTTGACTCCGACTAAAGAAACTACTACTCCTAACTGATCGAATCCTTGTATACTTTCACAACGTATTTCAAAAAATTCCGGAATTCGAAGCTTACAACACAACTATTGTGGTAGAAATACATCATAATTACATAAACTAATAAATGTTCTTGTTTTCCATGCTATGTCATCAGAAAGTTTGAGTATCGATTTCATAGTGGCTAAGAATTGTAGAAATTATTTACAGTCTTTATCAACAACACACCTAAGCTGCTTTAGTTTCTAACGACCTGAGTAAACATCAAGAGTTCAAAACGTTTATTAATGAGCAAAATACCATGCAAAAAGTCGTGCTTAAAAATTACTTTGTGAAGCAAATCGATTGGATTAGATAGAGATGATATTATGATTATTTGGACGCTCACTAATGCCCATAGTTGTTGACATTAATTAGCTGGGAGAGGGGTGAGTCTGTTCCAATGCTCGGATAAACAACACTTGTTCAGTCAACTCTCATGATGATTCAACCGAGGTTATAGAATGTCAGTCACTACTACTGACTACCTTAAGTCACAACTTCTCATGTGAAATTATTTAAGTCCCTGTCATCCTGTACATTGATGTACACGTGCGTGCCAATAAATCGATTTGTGAATCTTTTCGCTGCGCAGAATGACTTGCTTATAGCATTCAGTCTGTGCTGCAGTAGCGCAAATAACAAGAAGGTGGCTTTTGTAGTTTGTATATAAAGTAGGATCCGCAGTCTTTCACATTAATGTTTATTGATATCTTGCAACAATCTCCAACTCGGTTGAAGCAGACCTGGGAGGAAACCTCACCATCTGCCAATGTGGGGTGACCACTTTTTAGCCAGCCTGAGGAGGCTGCACCACATTTCCACCGCGGTACGCACCAGGTTGGCATTTTTGTTCCGGCATCTCCCACGAAACGATACCATTTCCCGAATATTATGGATGAGGAATCGGCGTCACATTTTACTTTACCGTTCTCTTTCTGTCAGCATCGTAATTATAGCACGGATCGGGTGTGTTTGAGTTAATTCGATGTTTTATATATTTTCCTTTATAAGAAAGATTAAGGAAAAAATTACTTTATTTATAACACCCATTTTGAAATCACTGATGGTCCCTGTAATCTGATTGGCTCTAACTGATGTGATTTATTCACGAATCGCACCATTTTTTGCTTTAAATCAAATTTTTTTTTTCCATAGCGTTAAAAGCGGATCAAAATGCTAAAACAGTAAAATGAAAGACAAAGAGTTTGTTTTGCAACTTTTGTTTCCAATCCCTCAAAAAAGGGTGACCTTAATTTCGATGTTTTATATATTTATTTGGGCTTTATAAGAAAGATTTTGGTTTGAAATCATACTTGGAAAAAAAAATCGACTTTATTAAATCACGCATAAGATTTCAGCAAATTGTGTTTTAAAAGGATATCCTGCCCTGAGAAAATTCGTAACAGCACGCGTATAATATTACGATAGTTTTTACATGTGTTTGATATCACCAATCATCTGTGTCAGTTTAATAAATGACCGTTGGCGATAAGGTCATAAGCGTTGACCGTTCTCAATCCAGGGTCGCTTGTCAAGATTTTCTCAAATTATGGCTGCTTAAAGCATAGAGAAGATTCGTATTTCTAAAAGACAGGGTCGTTCAAAATTTTCCTGGAAGCGGAAGTAAGACGAAATACGAAAAGAAAAACCGAAAGATACGTACTTGACCTGGGTGATGGTATTTCTCAATTTCAGCTTTGAATTATCGTACATTTGTCAGAAAATATCGAAAGCGTTTGAAATATACGACACCTTAAGGAAAGAACTTCAAGAGGAGGAGTTTGATAAAGTTAAAAATGAGTGTCACTGTAATCTACCGTTTATTAAATTGACGAAAAAAAAAGTTTCGCTGGTTAGAACAGCTTTGCTCGAGCCTTTTCCAGTGACTGACAACATTTCTTTTTTCCTTCCGTTCAAGTCACTCGTAGTCTTTCATTAAGTGTTGTTGGATTTTTCCCTGCAAAATCTTCAATTTCGACTTCATACTCTGCTCATAGCTTCGTCGGCTAGACTCAAATTTGCCTAGGTTTTCCTTATTCTCTTTGCCTGCTTCTTGATTTTGGGCAAATATTCTTCCATTAAATAGTATTGAAATAAACAAAACGGAATGAATCTTGCTATCAGTCTAAAGGTGATTACCAATATTGTACTGGGCATTCTGCGCTGCGCACAGAAATCGCGTAATCAGGCGAATAAGTGCGCTTGCATTCCGAGAACACGATATTGTTTTTCAATAGATGTACCTAGCAAAGAGTTACGATAATCTTAGTTTTTTAAAGAGCACGTTGGCCTCTATTTTTTATCGCTAAATTTTAGTGTACAAATTTCCCCTTTTATATTGGGAAAATTAAAACAAATCATGGAAGGGATACAAAGGTATAGCTAAAAGCGTGCGTAAAGCGTGCATTACTTGATGATGCAAATTATGACTTTAAAAAACAACGACTCGAGGAACGTGGCGAGTCGATGTCGATAAAAATTACGTGATTTTTCCACATATTATAAAATAAATTGATCCCTACGTTAGAGACTTTCCACCTTTTAAGTTTCTTTTTTAAAATTAATTTTTACTTTGAAAACCCTTGTTGTATCGTGAAATGAGGCGCGTGAAAAAGTGCTAATAGAGGCATAAGTGGGGCAAGTTTGACCCGTCATTTTGTTCAAACAAGCACCGTGACTTGCCTCTTATTGTATCTTTCGAAACAGACATTGGCAGGGAACATTTAAGGAAACATTAAAAACAACTTGTCATATAACTTAATTTAGGATTACAGGCGCAACTGTAGGAGCCCTGGATATTAGTGCAAGAGGCGTGTTCATCACAGATGTTAATTTTTGAACACTCGTCGATGTCTGATGGGGATCAAGCGCACCACGTCATAACCCAGAGTTCGATGATAGGATGAAAAATGTTTTGGTAAATCTATAATTAATGAACACCTGTAGAAAATACTGCAAACCTAATCTCCAAAGATGTAGGATAAAATAAAATAACCCATCATTTCTAATGAGGGTGAATTATGGAGTAGAACTACATTTTAGGATAAATGTTTCACTACTTCCGGCACCATAATTTGAGTTCAAAGGACGTTTTAGAGTACTCCCCGCTTTGAATAGCTGGGATTGAAGGAAACTTATTAATATCACCTGAGCAAGTTTGTCCATCTCCAGTGTATCCAGTGTGGCATGTACATACATGTGATCCAATGGTGTTGGTACAGTTAGCATTCACATGACAAGAAAGATTTCTTGCACATTCGTCAATATCTGAGAAATGACAGGCTTTCAATCACGATTCTTGGAGTATGATACATGTGTAAACTTCCTTATTTTGAACATTGAGTGCGATAGTTGTCGTTAGAGAGTTGTTGGTCGCTATGTTTTATTAAATAGAAAGCTGGTCAGCGAAGATATTCAGCATTTTGTTCTCTTGCGTTTAAGTGGAATTGGTCAAGAATGTCAGGCAAAGATAATCAACCAAGAAGGAACGTACAGATTAAACAACAAACACAAGCAAACTAACATTTCTCAAAGTCATAACGAGGCAATTACAATCTAAAGGCTTTTACCTGTGCAGTTCCGTCCATCTCCGTTAAATCCAAATGAACAGGTGCACACAAAGGATCCATTTGTGTTTTGGCAAGTAGCGTTCAAGTGACAATCGTGAGTATTTTTTTGGCATTCATCAATATCTAAAAAAGTCGAAAGAAAAGAAAAATTCTACAACGGTAGTGGTTACACGAGTTGGATATCACATTCGTTTTTTAACTCTTATGAGGTGAAAAAGCCTTAGTTAGTTATCATTGTGACAAATTAATTTTTAATTTCGTCTAAACCAAAACTTCCATTACAGCGGAATCTCTCTCTCTGGACACCATTCCAAACTGTAGCCGAATATCAGTCGTCAAAGATCAGCCTTGGAAGCCTTCCTTTAAGATACGCACTCGACGACCAAACGTGATATATATATTGGGGTGGTTTAACTACCCTATGAAATATTTTGTTCTTAAGGGCACATTCTGTAATTAACCTTTTTCGCAATGTTCTCCTTCGAATCCAGGAGGGCACAAGCATCGATATCCCTTGATTGTGAAACCGGACTGACAAGTTGCATTATTTTGACACGGAAGGTTTTTACCGCAGACGTTCTGAAAAGAAAAAAGAAAAAAATAATACAAGAAGAGAGATGGATATCTTGGATGATTGATAGAGGAATGAAACAACGGAAGTTTTGGCACATTTCGGTTGTTTTTCACAATTCATTGAAAAGCGTCAAGTTGCTGAATTTGATTTATAGTTTATAGTTTACCTTTGAACCCCGATAAAGAAAAACGGCATTAGTCGACAGGTCAGTATCATATTCAAGATGAGTTGCGTTATTTAATTCACAAACATACGCCGTTCCTCCAGTCTCTGGCTCTTTTTTGAAGTTAGCACTGACACAGTTGTCGTTCATGTAGCAGAAAAGCTCACAGTGATCCAAGTCTTTGACGTATTTAGTTTCGATTATATGGTTTACCAAACGTTTGTCAGCAAAGACGAAGTAATCTGGAAACAGCATTGAACGATTTCGCTCTAAAATAAAGCAATCAAAATATATTTAGAAAACTTTAAATTGTTTTCATTTTAGGCAGAAATAAAATAATGATCACACACATATAGCGTTGAGACCAAACTCCTTGGCGAAAATTTTCGATCTCAAGCACACCACGACGGTAAAAGGAATAAGAACGTGTTAAAAAAAAGAAACTATTAAAAGGGGAACTTTATTAATGGGCAGAGGGATGACTTTGAGGAGAAAACAAAGACAACATGAAATTATCTAAATGCAGGAAATTGTTTGCTTCTGAGATCGTTGGCCGTGAGAAAAGTTCGCTTCCAAGATGTCCTATAATCTGGAGATAATTAAAAGTTTGTTTTTATTTGCCTTTCTCGATTTCGCGGTCACTGCGACTGTAGTTAATTTAGCAGGTTTTTTTCATGTTGACGTATGACCCATTGTTGTCTAGCATCACGCTACTGCACGCGTTCACAATGGAGATTGGCATGGTTTGTTGATGGTTGAGAGCTGCCACTTGTGTCAAGCTGCAGCTCCCTCAGATTAGCAGCTCTAAAAAAACACCGTCAGTTCGTTTTATTATTAACCGCTGAAAAAAATTTTGATCGGAGCATCAATGATTAGGGAAGAAAAAGGATAATTACTCAGACTACTTAATATTTTTCATGAACAGCAGACGAAGAGGCTTGAGTTTTGAAAGCGAAGAAATTTTTCAAGCTGCACGAGACGTCTATGCAAATTTAACAAAAAAGAAAACAAAAAGTGTTTGTATCGCGAGCTTCCCTTTGCCAACAAAAAGAGCCTTTTTTTTAGTTTTCGGTAGATATATGGAAGCTATGTCTCTAAACAAATAGACAACGATGAAAATGTAAATCGTTGATTCCATATGCTAGCATTATTTTATTTTAAAAATGATTCCTCGTGTTGGTTAAGGGTGGTGAAGATCAACTTCTCTACAATGTAAGAACTTCAAATTCTCCTCTTCCAAACTTTGATGAATTATATTGAATGTTATTGATAGGAGAGCATAAGCATAACTAGAAGCTATCGCCGTTGCGAGTTACCTTGTGACTAATTTTTAATTTTCTTGGGAATGGGATACCGCAAAAATTTTCCCAAAATATATTTTTTTTGTAATGCCTATTTTGATAAATCATCGATGGGAGGTGAACACATGTACAGGGTTTGGATTTAGGTTGACGACAAAGCGTTAACCTATATCTTACCGACATGCTAATTATTAAGCCGAGTGCGGCGACAGCTTTAGACCAGTGAAATCGATTTAATAGACAAATGAAAGAAGATACAACCATAAATGAATCTCAGAATATATGAATCCCAGTTTGCAACTCACCTTTACCAAACGTTAAGTAAGTCATAAATGGAATGTAGGATACAATCATGAAAAGCGCAGAAAAGTCCATGCTTACTCCAAGACAACGGTCTTTTATTAGGCGGTTTAATTAAACCTGTTTTAATGAAAAGTGGCATTTTATGAAGCTAAAGTCAACACAGTTGGCAGTTGTCATTTCTCGCCTGATAAGGATAAATAAAATAACGAATACAATCATAAATTTTGCGACTTAGAACCTCTTTGACGATTTTGTTTCGCTCGATAGAAAGATTCAGGACTGAGGGAATGCCATTTGATTTTAGCAGATATATATGATGTCGCAATTTTTACTGCGAGTTACGCTGTAAACACATCCTCTGGAAAGTCAAATAAATGACAGGTGAAAATATTCTACCCCCAGCAGGGTAAGCAGACACCTGGCCTTTAGCTCATTTAGATATTTTTTCATCACATTCAAAATTCATAGGATCAATAAATATATTCAGAGTATTTTTCTTTTTTTCTCTTACAGAAAGATAAAATATCTTTCTTGAACGGTCGTTTTATTAATATAAAACGTCCGGCAACTTTGCTCATGCAATAAACATATCTTCTAATTACGAGTCTATTTTAGTATTCCATGTTCCTGTTGGAAGTCCTTAGTTTTGATTAAGGCAGTTTAGGATTTATCAAATCTCCCTCCTCTAGACGTTTCTGAGAATTGATCATCAGCTCCAATTGGCTTTATAGACAGAACTTACCGAGACTCTCCTCGAAACAGGCCGTGTCCCTAAAAAACTGAAAATTCCCTAAATCCACTAGGCAACGAATGACTGCCTTTGCATGTTGTGTCAATAATACAAGATGGATTAAAAAAGGGAAAGCTTTGAAAAGTGTTGTTAGAAGTGTCATTTGTGTCATAGCATCTACAGCTGTATGCTGATTTTTTGCACCGCTTTATCAGAATAGCATTTCTCCTAAATCCTTTGCATTATTTTTGTAATACTGGTCACGAGAATTTGATGCACATCAAGCTTCTGTTTTTTCAAAGTTTTTAGCAATGTCCAACACATAAATCGTTATCCTATCACGTTTCAGTATTTGGACGGCATTATCCTCTTTTAAAGCAACCAGGATCTGATCAACAATCCCAGCTGATAAGTTTTTGAATTTTTATCGTCCCTCTCCTCAAAAATATATTGTTTGTTGCCATTAACATTGATGTAAACTGCTCACTTACCTTTCAGGTTTACGTCATGATCTTACTGATGCCCTCTGTTTTGTCAGTGTCGTTAAGCTGATCCTGACAAACAGCGCTTTGAACTAAGGTGCAGGGATGAAGGAGTGATTAAGGTGTGAGAGAAATGGAGGCCAAATGGTTGGACTTCATGGCAAACAGTCGGGGCTCAAACTCGGGTAAGGGTCTTTGTATTGAGTTCTTGGGACTTATAGTTCCTCTCTCAACTCGAGGTTACAATACCTTACAATACCTCTCTCAACTAGCAGTTACAATTCCTTACAATACCTCACTCAACTGGAAGTTAAAGCAATACCTCTCTCAACTCAGTAGTTCAGAGCCTACGTTTTCTTTTGTTATCGGCTCAAGACGTATTGCATAGTTGATCTTGATATTTACACGCCAATTATCGCATTGAATGGTTATTGATTAATTTAGAGGAAGGATTTTCTCCTGTGAAAATTACCGCTTTCCAAACCCATTCGAAGGGGCATTAAAATCACTATGGTCACTCGTTTTTCAGCTGAGATATATAGATCTTGCTTTGCTCTATTAATTTCATTCATTTCTCTGGTTTTTTTTTTTTTTTTTGTTTTTTTTTCCAGATGCTGTATGTTTTCATGGGTATGAAGACGTCATACCACCGATCCATTCCCTTATCGTCCAGGACTGCATGTTCAGTAGCACTGGGACTAGTAGTCAAGAAGTTTCAGTTGCCTGGGAAGGCCAGCGAGTACTATTTGGTGGAAGTCTCTGAGGAATGTGAAGCTAAAACTTTCTGTTTATCCTTTTAGATGGAAAATTATATACCCAAAGGAACTAGGTTGGTATTGTGAGGGGAAATCCTTTGGCCACTCGTGGGAACGAAAGAGTTAAAACGTCTGTTTTGTACCTGATAATGTACACCCACTTTAAAAAAAAATAGACCTTGTATTGAGGCAGGAGTTCCAATAAAAGCCGATTACTGGTGATCCTCCGCTGGCTATGAGACCGCTAGGGAAAAAGTTCTTGTAATCCTTGTCAAGGTGATTTATGTACTGGTGTTGTATGTGGGTTGACAAATGCTACTGAAGACGTCTCTCAAGAACCAAGCATTAACTTAAGAAGTATCATTGGTTCGCGATGCAGACGAACTAGAGTCAGCACCCGTTCCAGACAGTGTAGAAGGGAACGAAATAAAAGAAGAAATCAGCGAGGATTGACTGGAGGGTCTAAACGGGCTGGATCAAGTTAAAAACGAAGTATCCGAGGCGATCACTTCTCAGGGATTGGAGGCTGAACGTCAGGTGCTAGCCGCCAAAGAACAGTTTTTCCTTTTCACAAGTGGGCGAAGGGCTGTTTCTCATACTAGCATTATAAGGAAGAAACGAGTTTTTATGTCTTCTAGACATACTAAAGCAAACACGAAGATACAATGGGCTATATAATGTCTCTTCTACAAAAGACATACGGTAATGGTGGTTTATTCGAAGTGATTTGAGTGAAACCAAGAAAAAACATGCACCCCTCTGATGATTTCAGGCCATTTTCGCTATTGATAAGTCAGAACAAGTCACCGATGTATTGCGGCATTCTCGAAGGATTGTCGAATCTTATTTTTTGGTAACCTGTCAAATAAGAGTGACTGAAGCCTTTAACTTTTGATAGATTTAACATAAAAGGAACATGCTCACCTTTCGGGAAGAACAACACTTTTAAAAAACAGTCACTGCAAAAACAGAAAATGGTAGACATGTTTTCCATGGATAATTGCTTGTTTCTGTGTAGCCCTCCAAAATAAAAGCACCAGGCTTTTATTTTGCATGATTGGAAATAATTAATACGAGTCGTAGGTTATGCAGTGGATTGAGTTTCTTATAGAGAGAGGCAGTTTTTTTTAGTTATTATCAGCAGCAATTATTATCATTATTTTTTTAGTTATTATCAGCAGCAATGAGAGGAGTGCTCAACCTGTGCTCAACCTGTGAGAAAGAAGAAAAAAATGATATCAACACAATTATTCCTTTAGACCCTGACATCTATCAAGGAGTAATGATAATATTCTAAAATCTGTTTAGACATATCTAATCTATTTTGGAAGCAGATGTTCTTACACCAGTGAAACTTCCTTAATTCGCAGAGAAATGACGACCACCTTTGCATAATGTCTCTATTCCGAGGCGAGCAATGATAATTTGAATTCCTGGATACCACAACTACATTTTGCCAGGGACTCTTCGTATACTTCATAATGATGAGGAACTTTCCATGGGAAGGTAGCTTCTTTATATACTGCATACCAGTTAAAAGAATAATTTGTTCGTCGCAAAGTACTTAAATGAAATGATAAAATTGTGATAGAAACGTTTTCCATGCAGAGGTGAACTGATTTTATCCAATTTTTGATAAAAATAAATACTTAAAGTCGCACAACTTCAGAAGTAAAATTTCCATTGTGGAAAAAGAACCAACACTCTTTAAAAAAATAAAAGATTTATTACTCCCGAATTGGAAGACACTCTGCTTTCTAAATTGGATGTTATCAATGTCTGTAGAGATTCTTTAGCCAATAAAATTTGCCAAAAATTTTCCCAAAGAGAAACCTATCAGTACATAGCACTTACTTAATACTTACAAACTACATAAGTTACGAGGCTAACATAAATTACTTAATAAGCATAACTTAGTAAACCAATCTAGTTCACATGCTTACACAGATCAACATGCACGTACAAGAGTCAATACCCAATTGGCAGCTTTTCGCTTGTTACATTGCTAATGAACACACCTTACATGTTCTCATAACGAAATAGTTATTTTTATTAGAATAATTATTTAAATAATTTAAATGTATTGAAAGTAGCAATTATAGTGTTTATAATAATAATAATGATAAGACTAACCAGGTGAATAAAATAGCCATAGCAAGCAAGATCTAAACATTAAATTTTATAAGGTGTCATTTAAATAAAATTTATGTCTTGTAGACACTACGTAAGGTACTTAGCGATATCGAGCGTTTGGAAACTTTTTTATTTTAAACTTAATCTAAGTTTGCCCAATATTTTTTTTCGAAGGTGCTTAGAGATTTGTTTGCCATAGCGATTTATTTCCATGTTTCAATTTTTCTTTCAAGATACATGAGAAAGCCTTGGAAATATATTTCCGGTCTTCTCCATCCATGATGTTGCTAAGCTTTTCCATTTTTAAGGACGACCTCTCTTTTTCTTTCATCCGTAATCCATGGAGAGTAACATCGATATCAACAGGAGAAGAGTTTCCTGATGTTTAACTACATTTGTTATACATTAGACTTACAATGAAAAATCTGATCGGTCGGGAGCATTCAATCAGATATCTGCAGCAAACATTTGCAGCAGATATTTCATTTATCATGTCAAGTTCAAAGACTGCCTAGTTACCCATTCCCCCGTCCGTGTTGTGTTAACATCCTTCTGCAAACTCAGAAAGAAGTGTTTTCTTTTGCTGTTTACTTAAACACATGAGTAATAAAACAATTATTGAATTCGGTTTTCGTATAATATCATGAGGTATCAAACTTCACGTCTGTGTTATCTACCTCAGCATTTGGCTTCAGCAGATCACTCAGACTTCACTTTTGATGATTCGTGATATCATATTAAACTTCATCCAATATATTTTTAATATCTGCTGCAGTAAATCCATAGAAGAAAATAAAAGAACATAATACAGTCAACATTCGCCCTGATAATTATAATAATAATAATGACTTTATTGGATTACACAATTACTGGTAGAACCAGTAGTTCTCATTGTGGTCCTCTGATCAAGACAGAGAGAGGAGACAGACAGTTAC